AATGTATGAAATATAGCGTATTTTGCAGACTAAACATGTTTAGTCATAACTTATAATATAACTTTAGGATAATTAAACACTAAAACACGTAATAATTGATGTGAAATAATTAAATTATAGTTCATATTATTAAAGGATTGGAAATACAATGCGAAAAACCACATAAAACAAGTATTATTTCGTTCACTGGTTCCTAAGCAACATAAATTAAATTAATTATTTGTAATTTGATTCTCATTTTGTGGATTAATCAGCAAAATGTTTAAAACCTAATCAATAAATAATAAAAGTATTTACCCTTATAAGTACAGTTTAAATGTGTATGCATTGAATAAACTTTTCTATTATAGAGAATACAGAATAAACAAAAGTCCAAAACAGATGTGTTAACCACTCGAGAATATTCTCATAAATATATTCTATGAGTATTCATGTGTTTAAAGTTGAGTAGTTATAGTCAGGACTGGAATGTTAGGTTGCACGAAGGTATAGTTAGTTTTACCTAAATATTAATAATTAATTTACTAGTTAATAATTAATAAATCGTTGCCAAGTTTCCAATAAAACAATTCTTTGTCAGCAAAAGACATAGAAAATAAATAATTAATGCAAATATATGCGTAAATTTGTCTAAATTGCAATGAAGTATAATGGATTAATAAAATCCAATAAAATATTTGTACGAATGGACTTGAATTTCAAATGAAAAGTTTTTTAATAGCATTAGTTAAGCAGAATATATATATGTATATTTGAACAAATAATGTAACATGTAATCAATCAAACAAAGGTCATTAGAATTTATGGGAAAATAGTAATAATTTTTAAAAATCAGTTCAAAGGTCACAATAATTAGGTTTCTCACGGCATAACTCTCGTAATAAAGTTTTTGCTTCGAGGACACCATTTTTTGCGGCATATTTTAGTAGTTTTCTCACTTCACCTTTGAATTCAAGACAAAACACATATGAAATGAATGGCTCTTACATTGGTTGGTATCCATTGAGTCAAACCTTTTTTCACGTCAGTCCGATGACCACTCAGATGCCCGGCCGCTAAGTTGTAGGCCGACTGCGGGTGACCCTTATCTGCCGACCGGCGGAACCAGTGAAAGGCACCGGTAGTGTTGGTGCGGTCTTTGAGAAGTTTGTGGGCCAACACGTGTTGGGCGTTATGATCGTCCCAATGATGGGCGAAGAAATGTGTCAAATGAAAGTGGAAGTGATCGAAGTGGTAGTAAGTATAGTAGACTAGGATTACGGCAATAGACACACAGAATATCTGTAATATAACACATAATATGAGACAAATGGTTGAGAATTTGAATTATGTTTACACAGAATAAGTGAGAAATGAATTCCAGTATTACTTGCAATCCTATGACAACAGGCCTGTCAGCCTTTTTTCGTTTAGCGTAAGCTATGCGTGGCTTTTGGTCTGCGAGTGGTTTAGTGGTTAACATATCATCGGAAGAGGCGGAAGACTTCCTTCTCCTGCGAATTCCACCCATTTCTGTGACAATTCAATGGATTCTTTGTATGGATTTTCAAATCACAGCTTTTTGTTGCTCTTTATGGAGTCACGAATACTAATGAAATGTGTTTTGTGTTGTAAAGTATACTATTTTGTATGAATAGCCGTTTTAATAGCCACGAGGACTGAAAGGTTTGTTTTGACGATTAGTTTCCATGTGATTGTGATTCCCCTTCAATTCTCGGGTCGATTATTCACTCAACCATTCATTCACTACTATTAATATTTCCCTTTTTATATGCCATTAATTATTCATAAATGTTTGTCATTTCAAATATTCTGTTCATATATGATACCAATTATAGATTATTATACCGTACGATAGAATTGAGTTTTACACAAAAATGTGTGTAAAATATTTAGCCGAATAATAGAAAGAGATTATGAAACAAAACAATAATTCTAAACAACTAATAGTCAGTACATCCGCTTCTTCTATGTAATGAGTGGTCAATAGTATTGTCTTCTTTTGTCTCAACTCTTGCAATACATCCCATATCCCTCTGCGAGCTTCTGGATCTAATCCAGAGGTCGGCTCATCCAGTATTAGGACTTTTGTTGCGCCGATTATAGCGATCCCTAAACTAAGTCTTCGTTTCATTCCTCCCGACAGTAAAGTACTCAAGATTTCTAAACTTTGCTGTCTTTCGGTTGACTTTCATTGTTTGGATTCGCATGTAAATCGTTTGTAAATCCCAGGAAAGGGTGATTCCAGTAGACCTATAGCTGCCATAAAGTCCGCCAAACTTGTAGTCGACGGTCATCTGGAGTCCAGACGTCTTGCAGTAGTTGTTAGACGTATAGTAAGGTATGTATTGATTGACTGGTATTTGATTTGAATAATGGTTTAAATGTGAGACAATTCATGTAATACTGAACCATAAGTGAGTGAATAATGCCTTCAATTCTATTGAAATATGATTTCTATTTTTAATTCAATTGTTTTTACCTAAAAATACTAAACTTTTATTTAAACTCTATTTGCAGTAGAAATAAATGTCAATTGCTTTAATTAAAAGTCATTTAAAAAGTTTGCTAATACACCCAACTGTTGGACAGGGATTTGATAGTCGAGTGCCGTCTAAGTCAACACACAATTAACTATTATTTCTCGTTTCAAATCAATTCAAAACTTCATAAAACTTTTTAATACATTAAATATTTATTTTATTGATAAATGAACCAAAAATTAAAAATACATTCAAAAAATGATTATCTCATGAATGGTCACCACCTCACGAGATGGTCCTCCCCTCCACGTATTCCATGGCTTTGTGTTTGATTCGGTCTATTCGGTCGAAATTATCTCTTTGTGTCTCAAACTCTATATACCTCTTGAACACAGACTTCATTTGCTTCGCCGCCAACTTATAAGTGATCACTCGCTCGAAGATATTCCTCACCATTTCGTCGTTATCCTTGACAGCGCTGTCATTACCGCCATCTCTAACGCCATACTTGAGCATCATATCGATGTACACGAACCAGAGGTTGACTTTCTTGGGAAAGTTGGCCAAACAGTTCTCGAACAGAGTCTTTCCGTACTCGACATCGCCCGACCGGAACTCCATTTGCGCGAACTTCTCGATCACCTCCAGGTGCTCGCGCTTTTCCAGACACTGGAGCGCCCTCTGCATCAGCTTCCGGGCCGCCTCTAAGCGCGCGCACCTCATGTAGAAGTGGCCGAAACCGATCCACACGTTCTTATTGTGCTTAAACTTCTTCAGCATCTGATTGTACAGCAGTTCCGACTCTTCCAGTTTGCCGGCCTTGGCGTACGTGTCGGCCAAATGGCTGTAGATAACGACCGGTTCGTTGAACTGCACGGCTTTGGCGAACACCTCGTCCAGCGTCTGTTGAGTGCCGTACAGGTGCTCCAAATTGAGTGACGCCAACCACACGTTCAGGCGCTCCCTTTCCTCGCGAAATGATATAGTCTTAAGCGCCCGCTCGACCACCTCCCGGGCCTTATCCACCTGCGCCTCCTCCAGATGGTAGGCCACGTACTTCAGCCATACGAGCGAACTGTTCGGTGAGGCCAACGCCGAGCGCTCAAAGTCGTCGGCGGTTTCGGGCGTCCGGTCCGTATCCATGAGCTGCTCCTCCTTCTTGCGCAGCAGTTCCTCGCGATGTCTGACCTCTTCGTTGCGTTCGCGACGAGTCTTCCGGGGCTTCGCACCACTCGTCGTCTCGTCTTCGGACGAAACGCTTCCGTCGCTGTCGGACGACGAATGGTCGGCATCTCCGGTGAGAGCGCCGGCCGTCAAGGCGCTACTCAAGCGATTCAAATCGGGTGTCGCGTCGTCGACGGCCCACACGAACGGTTGGCTCACTTTCAGCACATCTTTTTGGAAGCGTTTCGACTTCGAGTCCTTTTCGACGGCTTTTGGCACCGCTTTTGTCGTCGACTCCGTCTCGGACTCCGAGTTCAGTCTTCGCTTACGATTAATCTCTTGTTTGGACTTAATTTCAGTCACTTTTTCTTTTTTATTGTCATCCGATGGCACATGGATTCCATTCTCAGGTTTATTATCATCGCTTGTGTCCACACTTTGCGGTGCGATAATCTTCAAGCCTTTCACGCTTTTCGGTGCTTTCATAATGTGTTGATTTTCGTGCGGTTTTAAGACAGCAATCACTCCATCATTAGACACGGATTTAATGATCACATGATACGTGTCCGTCAATGAGAACAAGTGAGAGATACCGCTGATGTCATTGGGATGTCGTTTTGCCGGTACGTACGCCAAAAGACCCGGGGCGTGACCACTGAGCACTACCAGTACGTACTGATTGCAGATATAAATGGGCGTACTTTTGATGATTTGCTCGCATTTGACACACGATATGGCTTTGATTTTCGTCGCATTCTTGATCTGTTTCACAATCTTCGGGTCAATCACTACCACAACCCTCTGTTCATCGAAATCAATGTCCACAACCACTGCAAACCCAGAGGCGCCCACTTTGTAGGCTATCTCCGCGGCCACGACATTGATCTCCGTCTTGACTACCAGTCCCCGCACAGACTGTCCCTTCTTTTCGTTGCTATGTCTCACATCGCACACCACTTCTTCGGAATCGTCCGATTGGCGGATCCGATACGACACGACTTCACCGATTCTGAAATTTGACACCTTTTGCCGCGAATCCGACACATTCTTCCGGATCAGATCGACCGCCAGAGTCTTGTCGACGTTATAATTGGCGAACCACTGGACGCGATCGTCAAAGGGATTGTCCTCATTGTTCCAGACGTGAGACAACTTCAGAGAAAACGACAACTTTTTGCGCTCTTTTTTGTCTGAATCGGCGGCTGTTTGCTCCTCAAAGTCAACAAAACGGGCGAAAACTGTTTGGTGTAAAGAAAAACCCAAATTCTTCGGCTCATCCATTGGACCGTCGATTAAATAGCGCTTCGGAACCAATCCTTTGATATTTGCCGCCATTTCCACAAATATTCCGTAAGCGGCAAAACCATTAATAATGACGGGGACGATGAGGTTGGGCTCCAATTGATCCACAGATGAGATGAATGTCTGGTTTTTGGCGCAACTAATAAACGCCGCTTTTCTGCTAACGATTATGAGATCCGGTTTGAGTGCGAAGACAACCACTTCATCGATGATGTCGTCGACAGCCAGCGCTTCGCTCAATAGCACCGACACGTCGTTATCGTCGGCTAAGTGTCCGAATGGGAGGAAAGCCGTCAGTTCTCGCGACGCGTCCGTTAAGTCAAACCCATTCTTAGTCTTATTTGTGACTTTCATTTGTGTCAACAACTGTCCGACGGCTGCCATCGAGTTCTTACTCTTCTTACTATCCTTAACGCCGGCCAACGCACAGGTAATCCTCTCCTTATCGACATCCGTGGCCACAACCGAACACTTCACCATTTGTCCCACTTTGAAGACTTTGAACGGATCCTCAATCCTATACGAACTCAGGAACTTCAATGGTATGAATCCCTTGACATCGTTGAAGAATTCAACTAAAATTCCTTTTTTGACGATCAGCGCTACCACTCCGTCGGTCTGGAAGTCGGGAACCGCTTCTTCGTATGACGACAAGAGGTGTAACTTCTTCGACAGCAACGACTTCTTGCACGTGAGGTTTATCTTACAGGGCGTACAGCTCTTGTCGAGTCGAACCACACGACACTTTACATCCCGGCCCATCGGGAAAAGCTGCTCGCGATTCTTCAATTGTGCCGTTTCTGCCAAATGCCGGTTCGGCACAAAACCCCTTAACCCGAACCCCAACTGTACGACCGCTCCATCTTTGATCAGTTTCTTCACTTTTCCCGCGACTATGGAACCGATCTTCAGGTCGTCGATGGACAGGGAGGGGGAGTCGAGGGCCGACTTCTTCAACGTGATGGTCACCAACAGATCCATTAGGTTTACGGACTTGACGCGACATCTGTGCTCCGATCCGACGCTATACTTGTTGTCTAAATCCGTGTCTTCGGACACTTTGTCGAACAGATCCTTCTTATGGGCGATAGCTTTGACACCATTGGCCAGTTTGAACACAACGTTCCCCATATCGTCGCGACCCATAACCACCGCTTTCTCGTGAAGAGCGCCGACTTTAATGGTTTGCGTAAAACTCTTAATAACTTTGGGCTCGAGTCGGGGCTTCAATGACAGAGCAAATTGTTTGGTGACGGGATGTCTGTAGAGTACCGTTCCCTCGACTCTGTCGCCGATTTTATACATATTCTTCGGGAACTCCCAATCGTTTCGCAGATGACTGCGCGTAACGAAGCCCTTGAAGTCATCGCAAACACTCACTTCCAGACCCCTGTCGGAGACGTTCAAAACAGTGGCCGAAACGGTGACGCCGGGCATCAACACCGGCGCCGACACATCGCTATCCGAAGTCAACTTGAATTTCGATAACGTTTTGGCGTTTGTCGTCAACTTCACGCTCCGATCGTTGACCGCGCCGTCGATGGCGCACAACACCAACTGTCCCACAGATAGGCTTTTGCGGCCTTTCCACTCCTGTATGGCTGTCTGTGCCTTATCTCTGGGCAGAAACGCTTTGATACCGTCGAAGCCGATATCCATGACATAGCCGTGATCTTCGACACTATCAACGGCGGCCACGACCGGCATTTTGGGCACTTTCAGCAACGACTGCGGGTTCAGGTGTCCGTAAACGTCCCGTGGGTTCAGCGACGCCTTGATCTCTACACTCCTGAAGCCCATCGTTTGCTTCGACTTCTGCAACACTTTGACCGCAAAGTATTGTCCGATTTTGAACATAGCGTTGGGTTTAAGCACTTCCATGTCTGTCGGTGTGCTCTCATTGTCATCGCCATCGGTGTCGGCGTTTTGCGCCAATGACTGCAACAGACGTGTGTAGGCGTCGGATATGTTGGCGATGGACACGTTCACCACAATTCCGCCGCAAAGACTCAGTTTGAGCTCAAAGTC